GATTCTATGATTCTATGATTCTATCATCTCTGCATGCACTATTTCACGTGCCTGTCCTTGGGAGGAGGTGCTCTGCTGAGCCAACGCTGCACACAGTAAGCTTTTAAAAGGGAGGAGCCTATTACAGCCTACACACAATCATTAAACAGCAAACAGTGAAAATGCATACATTAACATACACTAACTACCATTTATTGCTGAACCTGCAATGCACAGCCCAAAACAGCAGATTTGTCTCAAAGGGCAAGACCAAATCCCCACACAAGCACAGTGCTGTTCTCCATTGCGCATCCTAGTTCCCGGTGCAGCAAGGGCCAGCTGCTCCCAAGGGGATGGGGAGCAAGTGCCATGCCACACCATGGTCCCAACCTGCAGTACCATGCCAGGAGAAGACATGCAGGACAGGGTCAACAGGACCCACAAGCAGCCCCAGGTCCAAGCTTAAATGGGACTGCTGGCCTTGGGGAGGGCAAGGGTCCCAGGTGGGGTTGGTTGGGGTTGTTAAAGGCTATTAGTGCCCGCGGGCCTGGCACTGCGTCTGAATAAGTCGCCACTGAAGACCCTCCCCTGAGTTTCTCTGATCTATGCAGCAGTGAATTGATCCACACTATCTGATTGACTCACACACAGAGCAAAGAAAACAGAAAAGAGAGGGCAAAGAGCAAGGTAAGTTTTACATAGTAAATAAATCATTCATTAATTATTTTCAGAGCACAGACAGCACACCATTAGCTTCCAGCAGTGACAGTTATTATTTGGAAATATCACTCACAGCACCCTTTGCATGCTTGTCCGGCAGGCTTTACAGATTACAACACCACCCTGGCTTACCGATTTGATAGTAGCACTTTAAGGTACACCAATTGTCATGGACTCCTGTGGATAACACAGCATACGGTTGTGTAACTAAAGCTGGTCTCGTAATACTGCTTTCTGCACAAGCAGCCTTGGCCACAGTCCATGTACCTGCTCTGGAGGCAGGAGGCACGGACACACAGGGAAGCACCCAACCTGTCGGTGAGCAGTGCTGTGTGGTATGGTAAATGGGCCACAGTTTGAAAGTTTTTTCTTCCAGGATGATACACATCAGCTTCTTGCTGCCAAACCTATCTCCTTAGCTACTGACAATAATTCTTGGCAAACCAGACTAAGCTTTGCCTATCAGGGACTATCTATGCCCAGTGCAGTATCTTTTCTTCTGGGTAACCATTCCAAATAAAATTTAGGTCCCTGGGTTATCTTCATCAGATTCAGTCATAAACTGCACCAGGCAAAAACAACATAAAGATATTCTCCACTTTAAAAACAGGAGAAGGTGGGAAGACATTGAGAAAGTGCTACTAATTCATTGTTTATCTTTCTGTATTAAACACAATCAGGCTGCTGAGAGCATGAAAAAGTGTCGCTTGATTAAAACACTGAGCCAGCCTTCCGAGGAATCCTAAATGAAAACAAAAAGAACAGGATAGCATGGGCTCAGATTAAAGTCTGCCCTCTGAAAATTAGTGGGAAAAGTAAAGAGAGGAAAAATGTTTGATTTATGTTGCTGAAGAAAAAGACATGCCAATATCCAAGGAAGAACCTCAGGCTGTTGGGTTTTTTTAAAATCAAGTCTAAACCCTGATTATATGAGGGAGAGGTTGAGAAACAATGAAACAAATATACACAATTCCAGGCTGCTTAAATCACCCTCCAACAGCTCTTTGAGAAGAAAACTGTGGGTAGCTTTGTAAATGTGAAATTTGGGAGAGACTGAGAGTCAGAGCCCTCCTGGGGCAGAAAACACAGACTGCGGTTAGCTGGGGGTAGGCATTGCACTTCAACATTCCAACCCGATGACTGCAGCAGCAGATTTCTTTCTGTTCTTCTCCACCGAGAATTATTTATCCAAATAGTGCATAAAGCCAACTCACACAGGTAGGGCAGAGTGCTGGTCTTCAGGAAAACCTAATCCCAGGATTTTGCTCTGCTATGCAGGTAACTTGCATTTGGATCATTCTTGCTCCTCTTTAGTTCCCCGGATAGGTAATTACTGTAGGACAAGTATATCTGTGAGGGACTAAAACCAAAAACGCTGAGGGAGGAACACTTCAGGCTGATGACGTTTGGCGACTAAACCCTCATGCAGGCACCCTGGGTTAGTTTGCATTATCCTCCCCAGGAGGGCAGCAGCCCCCTTTGCAAGGGGCATTTCCTCAAGCTGCACATGAAGGGGGACTCTCAGCCCTGGAGCTGGGTCATACTCATTTGCAAGGGCTCAGGTAACACTGTTGTTAAGATCATTTCATGTGCAGGGGCTCCTGTGGGCTGCCGTGGGCTGCTGTGGGCTGCCGTGGGCTGCCAAGCCTGCAAGACACTTTGGGATGGGATTTCTTGATTCTGTGAAGAGACAGCAAAAAAAGTGGTGATTGCTTGTGGCTGGTCTGGGCTTGGAAGATGAGAAGAAACAACTGAACTAGCAGAAACGGGTGAGCAGACCACAGGTGCATGGTACGTTTGTTCTGAACATCTGCAGTCTTTCTCCCACTCACTTCTTGTACCAACAATGTGCAGTCATACAGGCATTAGGCTGTCAATCAGACAGATTCTTTAAGAACTGTTCAAATACAGATTGACCTCAGCAATGCTATGGTCCACTTGCAGAGGAACACGTACTGTCAGTATGTGGGCCACCTGCAACAAGAAAAATGGCTTTATTGTGTTTGGTAATAGCCAACAGTACGTGCTTGCTGCAGCTGCAAAAGGACAGTGTAGATGTGTCGGATCTCATAACTCATGGTGGAAAGTAGCTGAAGAAGAGGAAGATGGCAGCTTAGAAGCCATGACAAGGTCTTCCTTTGCCAATTTCTGCAAACAGCTAATTGCACCGATTCTGGAAGAAGCCAAGAGATCCTTACTGGTACAGATTACAAACCCATGTAAAAGTTAAAGGGATAGAAATGTTTATCCCTTATAATGTTCAGGAATTCAAATCCCATGCTAAAGAGGGCCATACAAATACCCCTGACAGCAGGTTGCCCATGCCTGAGGATGCAGCTGCCTCCATCCTGTCCTGTTCACTAAGGCTTTGAAAGAGCCGTAGCACAGAAATAAAAGCTGTGTTCTGACCAATGCAACAGTGAGACCCCATGCAAAAGTCCCCAGCCACCCCACCACACTCTAGCAATTTCTTTACCAGCCTCAGCATGTAAGATCTTTCTAGCACCCTGCTTCCACACCTGCTTTCTTGCTATCCCCTCCTGATGTACTCGGCAAGACCACTGCTCTCTCTTGGCTCAGATCCTTGCCCAAGGCCCCTCCTGCCACTGGCATTCTCATGAACAGACTAGTTCAAACACTAGTCCCAGGTGTGAACTGCTCACACCTAGAAAGCCGACCAGGACAAGCTCAGAGATAGCAGGGAAGGCACAGGCAAGTGAGCCCCTGGAGGAGCCAGCTGCTGACCTCTGCTAAGGGCTTGAGGGCTCTACAGACCTGGGGACAGCCTGGGGAGAAGTCCATCCATTTCTGCGCTTGAAAAAACATCCCAGCTGCAAGCACAGGCTTATCGCAAAGGCTCAGCTTTATTTCTGAGTACTCCCCTCCCATTGTACCATTTTCCTTAGCAAGTGGTGGTGGGGTTTTTTCCAGGAATTTCTGATTAGCAAATGTCTCAGCAGTGTTTTAAGAACATAAATCCTACTGGGAACCTTATCCTGAATGTAAAATACATGCTGCCCTTATTTAGTAGGTGTCTGTTGGGTTCACAGGGAGACCCAAAACCCTGCAGGGTAACTGCAGAGTGGAGCCATGCAGCATTGTTGGGCAGTGGCTCTGTGCAGCAGCGACGCAGCTTTGTATCATCTGCAGACCTTGTCTGATCCTCATGTTTATTCCACAGTAAGCAAAGTTTAATTACTCAAGTTATTAGATTGAATATATCAAATCATCACTTAACCCGCCTCAATCCCATTGTTGTGTTAAAGACAATATTCAGGACTGGCCTCAGTGAAGAACCATGAAGGCATGGGATTGTCTGGTCTACCTTGCTATCCCACCAGTGCAGGAAGGAAGGGCTAAAAGTTTACGTCATGGATGCCTGTTTACTTACGTAGGCAGGGCGGGGAGCATGCTACTGGTCCAGTGCTGTGCCGTGGATGTGGACGGGAAGCCCTCATGGGGCACTGGGAGCACCCCTGTGGCAGGGTAGTGGTGGTGGTGGTGCACCGCAGATGGCCTGGGCTTGTCTGCTTTCACAGCCAAGGGAGCAGCAAACTGCAGGTCCTTGTTGGAGAGACAAAGGGCAATTTGTGAAATCTGTGCCTCCACAGGAAGGGTCCCTGGCTGAGGGGCTGGGTTCCCACTTGGTCACCCCTTGGTAAAGGAAGTCCTTCAGCATGTGCCTGGAGATGGGTTTTGCAGGCTCCAACATAGAAGGTCCAGCAAACACTTGGTGATTTCAGATTTCACCTGATATTCAGAGGCACTCAGACCCCACTCCCCCCAGTTTATCCCACCAGTCTACATCAGGGAAACGCACAGTGACAGGATGGCCTGGGGAGGAAGATGGGGACCAGGGGGATGCATACTCTTCCTCTGCCATCTTCCCTTCAACAAGGGGTCCTCCACAGAAAGCTGCAGATGAGTCTGCTGGCTCTCCCAGCACCACCATCTGGCCCAGACATCCTCAGACCCCACTCCCCCCAGTTTATCCCACCAGTCTACATCAGGGAAACGCACAGTGACAGGATGGCCTGGGGAGGAAGATGGGGACCAGGGGGATGCATACTCTTCCTCTGCCATCTTCCCTTCAACAAGGGGTCCTCCACAGAAAGCTGCAGATGAGTCTGCTGGCTCTCCCAGCACCACCATCTGGCCCAGACATCTCTGTCACGTGGAAAGAGTATTCAAAACCAGAAACCGCAAAGTTTAAGAAAAATAGAAAAGGACTTCCGTCCGAGGCAACGCTCGGTGCAGCTCTGACATGAGGAAAAGCCGGCACTACCTACCATTTCCACAGGAAGTTCACCCTGGGACCATGGCCGACGAAAACAGTGGGCCCCTCTGCGCCGCAGGTGGCCTCCTGGGACATCAGTGCCCCGAAACGTTAGAGCTAGCAGCTGCTGTCGGAGGCTTTCTGTCTGGGGCTGACATTTGGTCCCAACAGGTGCAAAAACCCGTCAGCTCCCTCCAAGCCAGGGATGGAGGAGGATTGCATTTCCTACCCCTCTGTTAAACCCGGGACTCAAGGGCTTTTAAGCTGTTTGTTGCTTTTGCAAATAGCACGTAGGAAAGGTGCGAGTGAGCTGGGCAAGGACTGCAGAAGTGTGGGAGTTACATTCTCAGCACCCGACAACCTTAACATCCGAGAAAAAGAAAACAGATCTTTCTTAGAGCACAGGGAAAAGACATAGTTAGCCTAAAAATGGAGGGGTAGAAAAAGTACTGGGGAAGTTTTTGCAGCATTGGGACATCCCCTCCTCCCCAAAGATCAACTGTCCTTGCTTCTTAGGTAATAAATGCTACAGAGTAGAGACTAGAAATATATTTTTCCAAAGCTCTTAAGGACGCTAAGGAGCTATATCATCATGTTAAAAATAATTTAGGAATTAGGCATCTAAGGATATTCAAAATTACCTACCTCTTATCAGGCACTGTACATATTTTGGAAAAATCCCTACAGGGATCTACACACCAAAATATCTTTAAGATCTGTCCTTTCAGAGCTCAGTAGCCATTGATTTTCAGTGAGACAGGAAGTAGAGCAGTGGGACTCCAAGTACGATTACGAAATTCGTGCTACAGCTCTAGCCCATTTCAAACTGCCAGGTCAAATTTTACCAATTACAGGATTTGTAACACAAATATTGCCCTGCTGTTTGCAGCAAGTGGACCTGCAGCAGCAGATGCTCAGTGTAGATGTCTTCCATGCATAGTCTGTTAGGGGTTCAACTGTACAGGCCAGATAATTTTCAGAGCTGGACTGAATCCAGTTTGCACGTGTGGAGGAGACATTCTTCCATTGGGTCCTGTCACAGTGCTTATCATGGTAAAGAAGCAGGCTGTGCTCTGCTCAGTAACAGTCTTCTGGTGCAGTGGGTTTGAAGACACACACAGCTGTTAAATGTCCCAGACTTTCTGCATGTTTTGTCCAGGCCCTGCACCCTCCCAAGGAGATTAACCATTCCCTCACGTGAGCAAGGATGCCCTTCAGACTGCAGTGTTGTTACCTGCTGTGCATGCTGAAGCAGGGGAGAGCTGGCTCCAGCAGACTGTGCGAACGCCATCGGTGGCAGAGCCTTCAGCATCATATTCTGCATGATAATCTGGTGCATCTGAGCGTTCTGCATCAGCATCATCTCTACCATATCTGGGAAAAGGTCACCCCAAGGAAGAAAGTAAGAGCTTTATCAGCAACTGACAAGCAGCAGAGGCATCTCGGTAAGAAGTGCCCTCCAGCATACAGACTGGTCACTGCAACCAAGACAAAGCAGCTGAAGGGGACACATGAAGAATGTCAGCATTATTTGGCCAGGCAGTGCAAAATTAATGTCTATGAATAAAAACGTTCAGACTAGCTCTCCTGTTTCTCCCCCCTTCTACAAGAAAGCTGCTGTTGAGCATGTTCTGTATGTTAGTTTTTTCTACAAACCCACCCCTCTGGCTATGCTGACTGGCAGGCTGGAGAAGGGCTGAGCGCTAGAGCTCTCTTGCTTACTCCAGCCTGGACCAGCTCCTTACAGCGCTCTCCATTGCTTCAGCTCAAGATCATTGCTTACCATGTGAGAGATTTCCTCAACTTTACATGATATTGCAGTGCCACCTTGAGAGTCCACTGCATGCACATCATGCACATCACACTTATAATCTCTGGGTCCTAATCATAAAGGACCTGTGCAGTGGAACTAATTTGCTTGGGGGGTAATGAAGGAGGAAGAGGTAAAAAAAAAAAAAAAAAAAGGCAACTCTTCTTTTTTTTTAACTGGTCATACCAAAAGTAGTTTACATGTATCAGCTTCAGAAAATTCATGCATGAATTGGGACTATTTTGTTTATGAAAATAAACTCTGATTCAAAAATCCAGACATTTAGATGAAGAAAAAGCTGAGAAATATTGCAATTTCATGACTGAGGATTTCGCTGTAGGATGAAGAAACCTTTGGCTGAAGGTTGAGCCAGGGAAGTCATCCTACGTTTTTGCTCATGTCTTATTTCACAGTAGCATCCACCTATGTTTAGAAACAAACTCTTTTTATTGGCATTGCACTATATTTGGAACAGCACTTTCAGCTGTTCTGTTTCCAAACATAGGACATAATAAAAGCCTGTATTGTTCTGAGGAGGTTGAACAGCAGGTTAAGAGGGAACAAAAGAATAAAAACAGATTTTAGAAGACTGTTTGTTAATTTTTGGAAACATCTGTGTGCATGGGTTTGACGTTGTTAGTATTACTCAGTGCCTTGGGTTGAGCTGTTTTGCTTTCCCAAGCTTCCCCAGCAGCTTAATGTGGCTTTGCTGAGTTTGTAGTCCCTTTTTCTTTAGTTTTAGCAATAAGAGTTTGTCTGAAAGCCTCTCAGAAATGGCATCTAGCCCATTTATGGAGTGCAATTCCCACAGCTCCAGCAGCACGTCGTGAAACAGCATGTCACTAACTAGCTTGGACGCCGTCCCGTGCCCCCTTCCACTTGCCATGGCACCTTGCCTGCCCTCTCTGAGCTGGCTGGTAGACGGAGGGCACGTTACCTTCTTTAATGCTTCCGGAGCGGGGGGCTGCAAAAGGCTGGGCAGGGGTGATCTGCGTGATCAGTGGGGGCGGCTGAGGTAACTGCTGGATGATGGTGGCAGGCTGAGGCGGCATCTAAAAAATAAAGCAAAATGGAGAAGTCGGGATTGGTTTTGGCCAGCTCTCTCCTCTTTGGGAGGGGAGAGCAGTGGGTATCATCTGCTTTGGACATTGTCTCCCACGAGATCCTTGTGGAGAAGATATTGAAGTCGTGGGCTGTACGAGCAGACAGTGATGCGCATTGGAAACTGGCTGAACGGCCGGGCCAGAGCGTGGGCAGTCCTCCCACTCCTCTTGCTACCTTGTTCCTATAGTAAATCATTCACTCTGTTAATTTTGTGCCTTATTTGTAAGATGATTTCCTTTAGATTTTGCCTAGGGCAGTAAGGGTCCCATACAATAGCAAGAGGCGTATCTTCCCTTTTGGTGGGATGAACGTTTCCATACAGCCCCCAAGTCCCTCCACCTGCGGTTGTTGTCTCAAATCCGTACAGCGCTAGTGGTGTTTCCTAGGAGAGAGGATCCTTACTGTCTGCTGGATAATCCTTGGTGGCTCCGCTTGGGGAGCTGGAAAAGGTATCTGGTAGACATGCGGGGAGGCAGCTCTGTGGTTATGACAGTGTCCTCCAGCTGGTGCAGGGGGCTGTGAAAGTTCTTCCAGAAGGTGCTGCTCCTGCAAAATCAAGTATCTTCTTAAAGAAAACTTGGTCACAGAAAGGCAGACAGTATTGTTATGGTCTCTGGACTAACTGAGATTAGCCCTTGGGAGCCCGCAGCAGGGTGCAGCCTTGCTCACCAAAACACTGCTGCAGAAACTTCCAGCACTGCTGCATCTGACAGGCAGACCACAAGTGACCGCTGCATGAAGGGAAGCACTCAATCAGTGCCCACATAAGTGTAAAGAAAGCCTTTCTTCCCACATATCTCTAAGCCATACAGTTTTCAGCACAAGCAAAAAGGAATGGCAAAAAAGTGAAGAACAAACTGCCAAAAGTCTGGGAAAATGTTTCATTAATGGTTGGTATCCTCCACAAACTAGGAATAACTAACAGTTACTATTGTCCCTATTTTGGCAGCATTAAAAATCCCCTATTTACTTTTTGGCACTACCCCAGAGAGCTTATGATACAGCAGTTCAGGACAAACAGAATCAACCCACCAACTAACTGAAGTGGGTGCAAGCTTCATTACCTGTAGTGAGGTAAAACATACTGCTCACCAGCCCCTCTCCCTGATTAGCTGGCCCAGCCTCTGTACTCCAAACCCGCAGAGGACTGAATACTGCCCAGCTGAAGAACTGAAGGACAGGAAAGAACTGAACCCACATCGGCAGTGGATGTGCAGATAACCTGGCCCTTTTTGTTGTTTCTGTCCACAGAGAGGACTCTTACCCTAAGATCCTGCACAAGATCTTTCCTTCGCCTTAGGGCACTTCGGAGCATATCCTCACATCTGTTCCCTGAAGGAGGAAAAGTCCATTATCTTCTCAAAGGATCACAAAGACAGAGCTATTATAGCACCTATGTTATGAGATTAATTCTGGAAAACGTGTTGTAAGATAGCTTGACTTCTTCCACAAAAGGCTTTGGGCTGCTTTTCTTGTCAAATCCACTAACGGGTAATGACTGTATGCCACATGCAAACACAGCTGTTCAGCAGCTCTACAAAGGCAATGCACTTTCTCTGAAAATAAACTTTTAAGATTGCTCTTTAAAGCCCCCTTTTAGCCTCCTGGCTTAGAAACTCATTTCAGCCTGAAATTTTCTAGATATACTCTGTACATGCAGAGGATAATTGTGCAAAGTGTAAAAAAAGTTTGTTGTGACATATCAAAACAAACTCAGTTTTGAAAGTCAACGTTTCTGTTTCATTTTTGTTCTGAATCAACTTCCTTTGCAGTTCTTCCCATATACAGCTGATTTTGAACTTGCTTGAAATGAAAATAAGAAAGAATGTTTTCAGATACATTGGAGGCATGCCTGGCATCTGCTCTGAAAAGCATCACCTCGTATTTTGAAACTGTAAGTCGTTAAAGGTATTTTTAATTTTTGGCCACAGTATTGAAAGTTTCCAACTCTTTGTGCATCAGCTCAATGAATATAAGCCCAGAGTACAATCTAGAAATATTACTGATCTACTGGTGGCCTTTAATCCATAGGTAATACAATTATAAACACTGGATGTGCCATGCAAAGAAATGAGTGCACTGCACATAGCATGCATAGCTTCCATGGGAGTATTGTTGAAGGGAACGTACTACTTGTATGTGAAACATTACAGCAGTCTTTGAAAGGGTTTGATAAAGACACAAGTTATTTTAAACTCCCTTATTTATCAACTCTTAGCTGGTTTGCTAGATTTTATAGAAAATTGTCTAAACTTTGGAAGTTTCATAAGCATGCTGGGATTCCTGACCTCTCTGCACAAACCAAAGTCAGACTGTAATTGCACATGCATGGTTTCCTGGTAAAATGGTTTCCCAGCTCTTATCAACGCAGTCCTCAAGACCAACGTCTTCAGTATAATGATTTGTTTCATAAACTGAGTCACATTTTTTTTACACTGGAAACTATGTTCTGGTCTGCACAAGGCTGCATTTGTCAGCTTCAAACGTGCAAAGCTGTATTAGTAATGGAGTGTTCCTCCTGCCTGGATCCCTCAGAGACACACAGACGTCCTAATGACTCCTTTTCAGGATCACCAAAGCCAAGCATACAGCTGGACTGCAACAGGGGCTCACTCCTAGGTATAGGAGCTAGGACAAATAGGATCACCAGTAGTTTGTTCCAGCTGAACCAGCGTCCGCAGCTGAGAGGCTGCAGAGGACACCTGCACAGGAGGTCATTCTTATGTCAGTGCTCAGCTGGTTGATAATTTCCCTTTGTCAAAAAAAAAAAAAAAAGTTGAAGAAATTCAAAAGATAAAATGTAGATAGCTGCACAGTATAGCAAGCCCGTTCTCCTTGCATCAAGGCCGCTGAGATTCACCGGCTTGGTGAGGACCAAGAGTAGTATACAGACTGACATTACTGCACAAGCTTCACTGGAATTTGCATTTTTGCTACTTCCAATCCTCAGGGCTGCATACAGATTTAGATATGCAGGCTGAGCTGGGGCAGCACTGACTCAAGTTCAGAGTCTCCCTCCTGCCCTTCAGACAATGTCCCTGTCACAGAAGCCAAGACAGAGCATCTGACTACCCAGATGCCCAACCACTAGCACACAGCTTTTAGGGAGGAGATGTGATCATCTGGTGTGACCTACTGAGGAACTCATGCCTGAGAACATCACTAAGCCCTTTCCATATTATGTCCATAATTATAACAAATGCTTCTCTTTTACTTGCAGCTGGGAGAGGTGACTCCATCTTCTGTAGGTTCTGCTGTTCATTTTCTAGTCTCTGTTGGTAGAACCACAACAAGAACTCGTTATGAGTCAGGCAGCAAAGCTCACAACAGTTTCCAACCCTATGTTACAGACATAGGTTTGGGATGGAGGAAATAAAGCAGAAGCGGAGACAAGTAGTGCTTCTTAACTGCTAAATCACAGCTGGTGAGGGCTACAAGAAGTATTCACAGAAATATGAAATGTCTCACTACAAATCTAGTTATGGTAATGCTTCCAACTGGCCAGGCTATCCCAGATCTGGAAATTGATACAATGGTGAATCAGGAAACTTATACATCATTTATTTTGTAGGGCTGAGAGCTGGATCATATGAAGAACTTGATGCAGGACAGTTTTGGGTATTCGATGCACTAATAGACCTAAATGGCCCTAACCAGCCTCCACTGGGGCTCCCATCCACACCCGCTGCTCATGTGCCCAGGAGCCCCTTTAACCCCAACTCTAGGTCTTCAGTTCCTACTGAGCTATACTGGATGAGTATTGGTCTGCAGTTCAACCACAGCCATGCCTGTGACTGGCCATGGATCCTATTAACCCTAATCCCAACCTGCAGGCACTTCCCAGGTTGGCCTTGGACCTGCCTCATCACCATGAGCTTGCCTGATAGATGTGGACTTTTGGTTGAACCTGGCCACCATCTCTGGCTCTGCCCCGCTTGCCTTGCTTGGGGGCTGGTTGGCCAAGCCCCTGCTCTGCTGGCTGTGTTATTGTGCTCAACACCTTGCTCCTTAGGCAACAGGTGGCCCTTGTTGCTCCCTGATGCTCAGAAATTAGAGACCTTTCGCTCATGCACAGGCTCTTTTCTTGATTCTGCATAGCTCCACACTTGTGAAAGCTTTGCCCTCAAACGGCTGCTGCATCTAAGACAAAAGACTCTCTACAGTAGAGAAAGGTTAGATGCCACTTCCAGCATTCACATCTCCAGGCAAATTGTTTCTCCTTCCAGACAACTCTTTCAGTGGCTTCTGGAGGACACTGAAGCAGAAGATCCACACTAATGGATGTCAGATGTGCTGAGGGTGGAGGAACAGGGCTGAGTGGAGAATACTGGGTGCATTAGTGTGCGGAGTGTACTGGGATTCTGTGCAGCACTTCATGTGCTTCCAGTGAAGGCCTGCCAGTGTTTCACCAGGCAACATATCTTACGTGAAAGTAAACAAAAAAGAAGACATGAAATTGCCTTAAAACAATGCGAGATCCTCTTTACCCAAAATTTACTCCTAAACTTTGCCTGCCACAACTCAAACTGGTTTTGAGCTAACTGGTGACATCTACCGTAAGATCGAAGTCACTTTATTTTTAATTTACTGTAGGTCCATGTAAACTTGTACAATGTTTTTCAAGAAAGTGACAGTGACTGTAGCACCACTGCACATTGTTCTGCCTCTGCTTTCACGAAGAAAGATGTTCTCAATTGGCTGCAGATCCTCTTTGTATCTCAGTAGAAATATAATTATTTAAAATACAATGTTAATGCTTAAACATGCAAGAGCAAAAAGCAGAGCAAAGGTGACCACTGCAGAATTATTCCCTTACCTTTTCTAGGAGTTTGAGTTTCAGTCGTGTCAGGTGATCCACCACTGAAGGATCTGTCATTGTAGTAGTGTCCTGGAAGAGCAGGCAGGCAAAAACAGGTTAAAAAGCTAAGCAAAGGCAGATAGGTTTTCAGTGGTCATTTTTTCCCCTTCACAATCTGCATAGGAGAATAATTCCGTTAGGAAAAAAAAAACAAGATTGTGAGCAATTGAGGGAAGAAGATAAAAGCTTCAGTTTCACTCCCAGATAAAAATGAATACAGATGTTCACAACAATGTCATAGACACAGCTTTTTCTGCCATTTCTCTCAACGCATTTTTGAGCTGCAGGTTGTGTTGGTCACAGAAGGGTAACTCAGGGTGAATATTTGTCTATTCTTAATGGTTGCTAGCCTTTCCCCGGCAATGGCACTAAGCCTGGCCCTCTGTATTGTTAGTGTCTTCTAAAGAGCTCAGAGTTTTGTGCCTGTAACCTGGTTGCTAAGTTTATAGCGTCAATCCTCAATATAAACAATTTAATCTCCAGGTGTAGAAGCTTATGTACCTTTTGAAAAGCAAATGCCCAGCACATTAGTGGACAAGAAAAAAAGAAATAAAAGCCAATGGTTCTTTAACACAAGCCCAATGCTAGGGGTCAGATTACAATCTTGCTGATTGATTCCTGATAACAATGTTTATCCCACTGTAAGGTGCCCAGACACTTTTGACATAGCCCTTCATATGAGTTTTCATCATCACATAGTAACTAAAAACTGAAAAAATTAAGGAGCATAGCTGGAACTCATCCCTGGATGAGTAAAAGAGTGAAGATGCTATGGTATAACATCCGTTCTCTTACCATCTCCCAAGCCACCTGTAGGGTGTCTCCATCTCCCAGCAAAGCCCTACCAGCACAAAAAACAGGGCAACATTTATCAGTGACATCCATAAAATCAATACCAAGACATGAGAAAGAAGCCAAGTAGTAGATACTCATTCTCAGTATCATATTTTAAGCCCGGTTCTGCTCCTAGAAGAGCAAAGTTACAACCCCTTCCTTACTTGAAGGCCATAGCAAGCTGCAGCTGAGCCACTGCTAGCAGCTGGAACAGCTGATACATGCTTGTAGGGAGCTGTGTGGGAGCAGCATGGATCACCTCCTCCAGCTGTGACCCACACAGCATATGTGTGCAATCTGTCCTTAAAAATACACAGGCTGGTAGTCACTGGAGAGGTTATAGAAACTGAGACACAGGGATCCCAAAAATAGCTGTGCCATGTCAGGCCTGGGGCTCAGCTTTTTTTGGCAGGGCTCATTTGTGAATGCTACAAGTGACATGGCAGAACAGAAAACCCTGCCAGCAGTTTTCCTGAGAAACAGCTATGCATACATTTTTGTACTTTAAAACCCCAATAGATTTTTCTCCCGTTATCTCTAATATCTTTGATCCCTTCATCTTTTGGGCAGCTGCAACAACCTTTGACAAGGAGTTTCCTAGTTATCTTAAACTAAAGCATAAGCCTAGTTATGCAAGTAAACTGCATAAGTATAGTTTACCTAAGTGTCAGGCAAAAAAAAGGATTACATTTAGACTCTTTTAAATCTAGATTCCTGAAAAGTTTATCGGAAATTTTCTCATTTGTTATGCGAAATACATACAACTCTTCTCCATCCACTTTTTCCATACCATCTGCGACTTACATTCCTGTATCATATTCCCATTCAGGTGTCTCTTTTCTAAGCAAGACAATCCATTTAACTTATCCTCAAACAGCAGATTTTCCTTACTCATTGATCTCATGATTTGGCTGGGAAGGTATAATTCAAGAGCCCCACCTCTTGGCCTCTGCTACCGGCCATTCTCAGAAGGTGCTGCATCAGTTGCACCTTTGATCACACCGTGGCTGTATGTCTGTTTGTACAGTCTCGTGTTTATCCTAGTTGCTTCTCTCTGTACCTTTCTAGTTCATAAACCCTTTTGTGATGGGGTGACTGGGGTTGTGGGCAGCATTCGGGCAGTGACATAGCAAAGCAAGATGTGTTGGCATCTCCAGACAACCAGAAGAGCAACAAGCCTGCTTATTAGTCATTGCTGATGCTTTAGTAGCCTTTTTGACTGCTGATGAATATTGAGCTGATGTTTTACTATCAACTGATTTAATAAAGTGCCCCCTAGAATTTGAATTTCTAGAGCCTTCATTGCAATAGGAATAGAGGGTTACAAGAAAGGTTGACAAAAAGAACCAAGTATAAGCATTCCATTAAAAATACAGCACCAGTATTAAGCAACTGAGTTGACTACAGAGGAAAAGAAGAGAGAATCTTCTGCTTGATGTGACAAGTATCCCAGAGAAAATCCAATACTAGATAAAAAATGCTTTCCAGCAAATCTGCTAAGGGATCTTTCTTTTTCCACACTTATGGATGCCCTGGTCACAGTGGGATCCTTACTCTAGGGACATCTTACAACCTGTTAATTAATGACTCTGCCAGCTGGACACAAGAGGATCTTGCCAAAAGGGATCTATAATTACATTAAATACAAACTAGGGACAACACATGAACATGGTCATGCAAAAGAGCAAAACCAGACAAATTTAATTCTGCAAAGGATTAACAGGAGTGTCATGTGCACCTCACAGGAGATAATTATTCCGCTCTATTTAGCAGCGCTGAAGTCAGACATTGAATATTGTGCCTAATTTTAGACATGGTGGTTTAAGAGGGAAAGAAAGTCCAGAAAAAAAGATAAAAATGGTACATTTACAAAATATAAGTTCTGAGGAAGACTTGGAAGAATTGGCTTTCTTTAGTTAGTAAGTAGATGGCGAGGAGAGGACAGGCTAGCAATCTTTAAATAAATGGAAGGATACAATCAAAAACAGGGTGGGGTTCTTCTGTCTGAAAAGACTGGGCAAGAAGCATTTGACTTAGTGAGGGAGAGGAAAACCTGATAAAAACAAGAAAAAATTCTTATATTCTATAATTAAGAATTATACAGTAAGATAAATGAGTTTTATCTAAGACAAAACTTTCACAGAAGTTGTTTAAAAAAAATCTAGAAAAACAACTGTGATGAACATTGTAGTACAGTTAGACCGCTCCTCAGATACAAGAATGGATTAGATAACCTGGTGAGGTCCATACCAGTACTGCATTTCTACAACATCTTTTATTGATTTTTATTCTTTATGTCCTTAATTTTAATTACTATGATTTCTAAAACACAATATAAAAAGAACCAAACAAACTGACACACCTGGAAATATCCAGAGACAATAAACTTTCATGCTCTGGTTCCACAGGGAGGAGCCTTTATTATTTCAGTCTTAGAAAAGTGTTTTAATTTATTAAAAGAGAGTTAAAAGAATAAAAAGAGAAACACACACACACAAAAATCACCAATGGAGAAGTACATATAATTTCCTTCCAATCAACTGTCTGCTTCTGCCAATTATAATGTTGCAAATTAAAAGTCAAGAGCTCTTGTTAGGCTGCTCGGTGGTTACAAGTATTGTAAAAATGTCCTATCTGCATTTGAAGCTAAACATATGAATAAAACACATTCTACAATTAGAGTTATTTCATGCCACTGTCATATAACAATGTGCAATCTTGGGTTTTACTGTTATTTCTGAAAACAGTGATCCTAATTTGAACCAAATTATACTTACGACCATGTCTTCTTACTTAGAATTAAGTACACTATACTAATCATATACTATACTTATGATTATTGTCTTCTTATATGACAATGTCAAACCACTAGTCTCCCCAAACGCTGCTCATTTATTTGCAGATACGTTGCAGCAGCACCCAGAGTTCTCAGTAAGATTTCGTTACCAGCCTGATCTTAGCGCAGCATTACCAGTGCTTCTGCTAATTTAGTCAAGGTATAAATGACTTCTACTGCGTTTATGGTTATCTCAGGTAGGATTGGCCCCAGCAGAAACAGAGGTGGTGGCCCCGCCACCCTGCCTGCTTGGCTTCAGCTCCCTCACTGCAAAGCTGCACTAACAGTGCAGAACCTGAGTCCAGCTGCTGGCAGGACAATTTGGGTAGTACCCAAACGTTGTGGCTGGTGCTGGCTGATTGCCGGCTAGCTGACGCACCACCGGAGACAGGTCCCTGTCAAATATTTCCACTTAAGTCAATTTAATTAGATTAGCACTAGAAATCCTGACATTTTAACGAACAGACAGGGATAAAAGAAAGTATAATGCATGACATGGTTATCTAAAAAAAAAAAAAAAAAAAAAGAATTACCAATAAATCAAAATCCATTGAACCCAAAGATGACTTATTTATTTTACATTTTTAGCTGGAGCAAGAAGTCAAAGCAGTAATTTATTTTAAACCAAATTTTTTTGAGTGACATATCTGATTTAACAAAATTGCCATTACAAATGCCATGATATATTATCTTTTTTTCTTTTAAGAAACTTCTTTGTTCTGAGCTTACCAGTTTCCTTTTGCTTCTCAGATTATACAAGCTTTTGCACTAAGAAATTTCATAATTCAGACTTTATTTCTTTGCATTGACTGGGGACAAACTCAGAATCCTGGCTACAGGGTCAGAGGACATGTCAGTGGTACCAGGAAAAACAAATAAACCAAAAAACCCTCAAAACAGCCAAGGGCTGACAAAGCAGGAAGTGACCAGAAGTACCATCAGGAGTCTGTCCTTGCTGTCAGATCTAATGTCCCTGCACGGTTTGCACACTGAAACTTCCACTCTTCCTTAGAAGAGTCAAATTGGTTGGAAATTTGGAAAGGAAAGGAAAGCCAATGCATACGGTCCCCTAGCAACCTCTGCAGTAGTTTAAAACTTAACCTCTACCTCGGCTCTGGACACGGACAGGCTTTGTGATGTGTAGAGAAAGCCTTGCCAACCCTGCCTTACTCCTAGTGTCCTCAGCTTTCTCTTCAGAGTATTGAGCACGCACTGCTCCAGTCTTTTTGTTGTCTATGCTGAAATATTTACATAGAGATAATGTGCGAGACCAGGAGATTGGTACAAAATGGTTTATTCTGAGAACACGAACATGGACGGTAGTTGACATAGCATGGGAAACCCAGAC